GCCAAACTGAATTCATTCCCATGTCTTATGGAGCATCTCTCATGTGCTGGGTTTCAGCGGGTCTGCTAACATCGTCAGGAGTTAGCACGGAGCGAGAAAAATAGCTTTCATTCAGCAGAACATCACCCAGCAGCGGGAACAAATCCATCCCACAGGAACGAATCCATCCCACGGATGCACCCAGAACATCACCCCGAGCACAGGGCAGGCCACACCGGCAGCACGACTCCACTTTTGGGCTCAAATGCAGGTGGACTGAAACGCCACCATGGCGAAGCAGTAGAAAAGGCGCGGGAAAGCCAACCACAAAATCCAGGAGAGGGCAGGGGGTGAAGGGGATGCCCGGGAGGCTCCTGGGTTTCAAGGCTCACGTTCTTCCTGCCTTAGGGAGCCCGCTTGTGTGGTGTGGGACCTCCCCAGACAGTTCACAGCTGCAGGGCCTCCATGCTGACCACCGACTGTCAGGGAACACAGAAGCTTCCTGAGTTCTGGAGCAGTGCATACAGCAAGCGCTCAGTAAGTGTTAATATTAATATTATTATCACCACCGTGTAGCTGCGGGACCTGAGCTTGGCCTGGCATCTCCTCGGGTCCCAGTCCAGGCCTGGTAGAGAAGGGGCTGTGCTGGTAGCACCAGACCTCAGGGTCCAGCTTCCACAGCTCACAAATGAAGGTGAGAGGGGCTGGCAGTTAGCTTGGTTCATTAGAGTGTGGTGTATGACACCAAGGTTGAGGGTTCAGATCCCCGTACTGGCCAGCCACCAAAAAAAAAAAAAAAAAGATGAAGGTGAGGCTGCAGAGTCCACATAGAGCCATGCCGCCAGCACTGGGGCATCTGGGCTTGGGAAACAGATGGGGGAGATGCCCCCACGGCCCACATGGACCCCAAGACAGCCAAGTGCAGGGAATACCATGGGCATTTGGTGGCCAGAGGGGCCCAGGGCTCCCACACATGGCCCCAAATCTGAAGCAGGGTCCTGGGACTTGGCATGAGACTCTGCAAGGTCACCCTGGGCAGTGGGAGGCACCCACACCACCACACCACGAGTTGTGCCATGGCCATGACTAACCTGGGACAGACCCAGCCACTCAGGATCCTCCTAGACAGAGACCTCAGCGTGGTCCTGCAGCTTCCCATCTTCTGTCCATGATATTGGTGCAGGTGACGCTCCCCACCCTGGCTCCACCCGCAAGGCCAGGCAGGTTCTGCTGGCCACGACCCAGGAGAGAGCTGCCTCCTTGGCTTGCACATGCCCTGCCCACAGGTGGGACATTGTCCACAATGCAGGAGCCATGGGATGCGTGAGCTGCTCCCTGGGACCAGGAGGGACACAGGCTGCATGGCCAATGCTTGTCCATCCCCGTGCCCAGGGCTCAAGCCAGCAGTCGCCCCTGGATGGCCAGGGGTACAACTCAGTCATCACAGACAACCACACTGACCCCCGTCCCCAGAGGCACACAATCAGAGAGCACAAAGCTGATCTTGATCCTGTGTTCCTTACATGGCAGATCATTCCAGGGTCTGTGCTCCCAGTAGAGACCCCAGGACCCTGGCCATGCCCCACAGCAGCCAGCGGCTCCCTGCCCCTGATGACATCTGTCCCCAGCACCCCAACCAACTTTGGCCCCACCCACAATGCTGCACTCAGGCTTGTGTCCCCTCCTACCCCCACCACATGACTTGGTCCCCGAGTCTTCCTGGATGTCTCTCCTGAGTCTGGCCTGAAATCCCGGCTGTAGAGGTCACTCACTCCTCCTCCCACCCACTTGGCCAAACGTCCCTGAGCTCATCAAAGCTGACCCTCAGAGCATGTGGCCCTCTCCTTTGCCCACACTGCCCTCCTAGCCAGGGGTGACCTCCAGGACCCCCACTCGTCTCACTCCAGGGCCCTGGGGTGTCCAAAGCATCTTCCCAAGCAGAAACCGGGAGGACTTTTCAGTGTCCTTGCTCAGCTGGGACTAGTCAAAGCTCAACTGTCCTAGAGCCCCACTCTGGAAGCACAATCAAGGGACACACCCACACACTCACCTGTATGCACGTACACACTCACGTGCACGCACACGAGCACACATGGTCACACATGCACGTGCACAGACACATGCTTGCGTGCACATGCTCCAAGGCCATTTCGCTTCACAGATCTCTACATGGCACCCTATGGAAGGCAGGGAATGTCCAGGCCTCAGGGATGTCACCTGGAGGCCCACAGCATGGGAACTGGCCACAGGCACCGGCCATGGGTAACCCCGAGCACAGCTGGCACCAGGCTAGTCTGTGTCTTGACAAAGAAAATATAAGCTCGCTGCCCCAGGCCCTAGACCACCGCCTGGCTCACCCACCCCACCACAAGCCAGGCCCAGCAGAGGCCAGCAGAGGCCAGCAGAGCCAACCAATGGCAGGTGGCCCCGTGCAGAGCCCCTCGAGGTCCAGCAACAGGGAGGTGGATGAGAGCTGAGACAGGAGTGCCCCTGTCCCCCGCCCTCCACCTGGTCTCAGACAATGCCCCCAGAAGAAACCCTCTGCTGAGCCCTGATGACCTGGCACACAGCAGGCGCTCAAACAACACCTACACACAACTCAATAAATTGCACAAGGGGCGGGCTCAGCTGTCTGCCCTGCGCGCGGCTGGATGGTAAACTGTAGACCCAGCAGACAGCAGGCGGCTCTCACCGCCCACCCGCCAGCCCAGAGGAGGCCCTGTCTCTGCTCAGATTCAGCCCAACAGCATCCCGCAGACAGGACTGGATGCATCAGGGCCTCTTTGGTCCCCAATTAGCTCAGATTTGTGCCCAGGTGCTAGTCAGGGCTGTGGGCAGTGACCTAGAAGGGGAGGGGGGGAGGAGAGCTGCGACAGGGGCTTAGCTTGGTGGCCTCTGCCCATCACCATTGAACTTGCTGTATACTGACTTCTGGCTTTGTTATCAGCACACCCACAAGACACAGACCCCACAAGGGCAGGGAGACCCCACACAACACAGACCCCAAGAGGACAGAGACACTCCACGGGACACAGACCCCACTTGCACCATCAGGCTGGGTCTGGGACAGTCGGCGATCAAGACAAGGAGGCAAGGGAGACCCCATGAGGACAGGGAGATTCCACAGGACACACACCCATGAGGGCAGCCATCTGTCTGCTCCACCGCGGCGTTCAGCTCCCAGAGAGCCAGACCACTGTGGCCAGCACAATGGAAGGCACCTCCTCACACACGCCCCACGTGTCCACAAAGCCCCATCCCCGTCGCGCAAGACTTGGGCTCGGTTAGGGAGGGAACTGCCCGGTCATGCTCCTGGTCGGCCATGGCACCAGGACTCTGCCATCAGCAGCCAACTGCAGCATTGCCTGGTCACCCAGAGCCCCTGAGTCCTTGAGTTCTCCTGTGGCAGATGACAGCACCTGACCACCATGGAAGCCTGGCCACCATGAACCTCTCCCGGTCCAGCTCTGGAGGCACCAACAGACTGGGGAGTTGGGGCAAGGTGAGGGCTTGTAAAC